ATCAGTGCAGAATGCCGTGGAATATTATGCTTGTTGTGTGCCATAACGTATCGGCCACGAATTAGACAAGTAGCTATCTTCCTCATATGTTTACCATAGTATCCTCAGTGTTATAGCTTAGTCGTGCGCTTATGTCCATCAGTCTCCTTGCTGCTTCACTCGTGGGTTTGCGTGCCGTACATAGATTGGCATCAGTGGTATCATGCGCGGTAATACATCTCGAAGAGGAATGTGACAGTAGCGGGGTGGATAAATCACTCATGATGCCAGTGACATTGGTAGCAGGGTTCAAGGCAACTCAGCGAGCAATGCGAGGGAGCACGGTAGTATAGTGAGGAGTGCTGATACTATCTGCATCAACATGCACGGATGCTGGAGGATTCCCCGAGTCCGATTCCCTTTCGAGTCCACCCGCCCTTCCGCATAGTGCATTGCAAATATGTCGGGACCTAACAGGCACGCTACCGGGGCATCTTGGCCCATACGTCAAAGATAACATGCGTCCCTGCACTCTCAGCTTCGGAGTGGGGGACCTCTATACCATCGCGCAGGTGTTAATTTGAAAGGCTTGCCATTTCTGCAGCACAGACACACGTAACGTCTGGACCATACCCTAGAGGGCGAACGCGTGCACAGCCAGGACCACGCAGAGAGACTCATCTTGACACAAGCTCAGTCACACACACGTCAATGCCTGCATCACACTTAGAATACGTCACTCCAACTTGACTCGCACTGTTACTGTCTGGAAGTAGCATAGCAGATGGTTATGCATAACAGCACTAACTGAAATGCTCATATTGCGTGTGGCATAGGTCGTTCGGCCCACCCTCTCCTATTACATCACATCGACTGCCTGTACTATTCTGGACAGTTTATGCATGCTGCTCATGTGTGCTGAGAGCTAGGCAGCCTGTCGCAGCCGGACTGAGGACAGACTACGATAGACTTGAGCTGCTATGCGCTAGTGGTCGCTCATCGGCTGATGTACTGCGCACTGGGAGTGCAGAGAAGGTGGCCCTTGGTCTTCGCCGTCTATTACTACATTCAGAGATCGACTGTGTGCCTGTCATCGCCAGAAGGTGGATAAGTCCGCCAGGACGTCCGATCATCCCTTTACAAGTAGCAGTGTCGTAAGTTATTAATGATCGAAGCTGCACACGACCACAGTGCAATAGTTGACAGTCAGTAGACACTGAACATCGTGTGAATCCTCCTTGAGTTATGGCTCTAGGCAATTGACCCTCCGAGGTAGCTTCATCACGTCATCCTAATCTACTAGCGGCTCTGATAGTCGCCTTCATCTGGCGATCGGATAAAACTATCGTCCTAAAGCACTAGGAAGGTAAGACCCAAAATCTTACAGGCACGTGCAATATACTTACTTTTCGACCCGCCTTGCCACCGTCACTACCGTGAATCTAGATTCGCAATAGTTGTCGATCGCATTACGAGAGTCAGGGCTGCGACCTTCTAGTTTCGCAGCGACATGGAGCGATCATAAATGAGTATAGCGTCTTGACTCTCGTGCCTCTGGATTTCAGGATGGGAGGCATGCTGGGGTCAGGGATGGGAGAGACTGGGGTCGTGGGCGCTGGGACGCGATTCAGATGAGATGCAGGGAACCAGTCCGAGTACGTCACACGACTCTCCCATTCCAGTTCAGCAGGCTGGATGCGGGTGGGGACTCGCACGAGGCTCTTTGGAACGGTAGGAAGCCCGTTCCCATATGCAACGCGCTCGCTACAACCCGACTTCAGCGTTGTGTCGTGCCATACATGGCGCTGACCAAGACGTCATGCGCAGTAGTGACATAATTCTAATTAACGCGCAGCCTTAAAGGCCCGATTTCCAACGACGTCATCTTCGTAACGTGGCGCTGTGTAGCTTGAGACACAGAGAGAAGGGATCCCTGAGGCAGACATGGCCGCCTGTGTGAGACTCTGCTTGCTACTGGCCGTCTTATCATGGGCTGAAGCCTTCTACCTCCCGGGTCTAGCCGCCACTAACTTCTGCGAGGAGGAAGTCAAGGAGAAACATTCAAAGGGAACGTGCAAGGTTAGTCGTGGACCACAGCCCGTCTCCACTTTGGTTCTTCTGTCCCTCTCCCCGCAGAGTCGGGTATACGTACACGTCAACAAGCTGGACTCCTCTGAAACCATTGTGCCCTACGAGTACACCAGGTATTGAATACTGTAGCTCTGCACCGCCCACCACTGGACAGTTTTCACCACTCCCTCTTCGGACTTCCCTCCAGTTTCGACTTCTGCGAGCCAGATGAAGACTCTCCTGACAAGGACCCAGTGGAAAACCTTGGCCAGGTGTAGCATTGTTATACTCCTTTCTGCCGTTGTCATGGACTTTGTGATGTTTGTCCTCCACGAGCAGGTGGTGTTTGGAGAGAGGATTAGAGCCTCTGCCTACAATGTCAGTCCCTCCACCATTCCTTTTCCTGGAGCTGCTATTGACAGTTTTTCTCTCTCGGCCTCCCTCTCGCCTTGCCTCTCCCTTCTTCTCTCCCTCTCCCTTCTTCTCTCCCTCTCCCTTCTTCTCTCCTCTCTCTCATCCCTCCCTGCACTCTCTCTTTCTCTCTCTAAAGGTTATATTCAGGAAGGATGTGTCTGAACCGGTAGTGGTGTGCGAGAAGAAGTACAACAAAAAGAAGGGGCCTCTGTCATTCCTGAAGGAGAGGATCCACGAGGGATACATGCAGCAGTGGGTCATCGACAACATGCCTGTCACCTGGTGCTACAAGATCCTGGAGAGCGACAAACCATTCTGCACGACTCGTTTCCCCGTCGGTTGCTACGTCACTTCTTCTGGGCAGAGACACGATGCCTGCTTCTTATCTGTGAGTTGTAGCCTTCAGTGTGTCTGTGCAATACTAATAGGGATGCACAAAGCACAAGTTTGCTTCGCACCAGCCATTAGTTCATGTGAACTACGAGGTATATAGAAAGGCAAAGGCACAACAAACAAATCATGTGAGCATAGTCCATCATCTTTCTCCTGCCACTAAAGCCATCGTCCATGAGCTTTGTGCTGTAATACTTGCGGTTACATGCCTCTCCAGTGAAGGCTTTTCTTTGGGCTACACATTTCTATATAGTGATAGAACATCACTTAGGCATTTGGTATGTATGTGGTTTCTGTGTTCTTTACATCCTCTCTCTTTATACCATACCTCTCTCTCTCATAGGAGAAGATGAAGGAGAAAGGGGCCACCTATATCTTCAACAATGTCCATCTCATCCTGTCCTACCACAAGGGTACGCCACCGGAGTTCACCGACGGTCGTATCGTGAGGGCCCAGGTCAAACTATCCAGCTGCTCCAGCACTGCCTGTACTGATCCTATGGTCATCGACTCTGATTCCGCCAGGAAAAGCCTGAAGGGAAAAGACGGGAAACTTGTTGTTCCGTACATGTACACGGTGGAGTTTGAGGAGGAGGAGGGGATTAAATGGGCGAGTCGCTGGGACTATATTCTGGGGTCAATGCCTCAAACAAACGTCCAGTGGTTCTCACTTATCAACTCAGTTCTGATCACAATTTTCCTGACCGCCATGGTGACAATGATTCTCCTGCGCTCAATACATCGCGACATCATGAAATACAACAAGGAGGATACTGTAAGTGTCTCTTCTTTTTTTGCTTTCTCCCCCGCCTTCTCTCTTTTCTTGCAGCCCCTTATTGCTCTTCTCTCCCTTTGCCTCTCTCTCTCTCTCTCTCTCTCTCTCTCCAATGTTCTCCCTCCCTTTGCCTCAATAATCGCCTCTCACCCAGTGCTTTCTCTGTCTTCTTTTTCTCTATCACCATGTCGACCCCATGCTTTTAATGAGGGACACCTTGGAGGCGTCAAAAGTGCAGAGGTGTCCCTTATTCCATGGTAGTATAATACACTAATGTATTAGTATGGGGCAGAACCAATTGAAAGGTGTCCTTCATTTGGAGGTTCTTTTTTGGAGATTCCTCCGTAGCTATTGTGTCACTGGCCTCCTCCCCTTGTCCGCACTCCACAGGAGGACATTCAGAAAGACTTTGGCTGGAAGCTGGTTCATGGAGATGTGTTCCGACCGCCAACATGTACAATGACATTAGCAGTCTGTGTGGGCAGTGGAGCTCAACTCCTGGTTATGGCTGTCATTGCTCTGGGTAAGTAGGCAGGCCCTATTCCCCCTTCATTCACTGTTTATATACTTCCATAACTTCCCTTGGGTTTCTCTGTTTTCTCTGTTTTCTCTGTCTCTTATTCCCTACTCTCTCTTCATGCAGTGTTTGCATGCCTGGGATTCCTGTCTCCTCCCAACAGAGGAGCTCTCATGACATCTGTACTGGTGTGTTTCCACATCACATGCACTAACCATACTGACATTGAGTGTTTCCACCTCCCATGTACCAACCATACTGACATTGAGTGTGTCCACCTCCCATGTACCAACCATACTGACATTGAGTGTGTCCACCTCCCATGTACCAACCATACTGACATTGAGTGTGTCCACCTCCCATGTACCAACCATACTGACATTGAGTGTGTCCACCTCCCATGTACCAACCATACTGACATTGAGTGTGTCCACCTCCCATGTACCAACCATACTGACATTGAGTGTGTCCACCTCCCATGTACCAACCATACTGACATTGAGTGTGTCCACCTCCCATGTACCAACCATACTGACATTGAGTGTGTCCACCTCCCATGTACCAACCATACTGACATTGAGCGTTTCCACCTCCCATGTACCAACCATACTGACATTGAGTGTCTCCACCTCCCATGTACCAACCATACTGACATTGAGCGTGTCCACCTCCCATGTACCAACCATACTGACATTGAGCGTGTCCACCTCCCATGTACCAACCATACTGACATTGAGCGTGTCCACCTCCCATGTACCAACCATACTGACATTGAGCGTGTCCACCTCCCATGTACCAACCATACTGACATTGAGTGTGTCCACCTCCCATGTACCAACCATACTGACATTGAGTGTGTCCACCTCCCAGGTACCAACCACTGATCTCTCTCTCTCTCTCTCTCTCTCCCTGTTACAGGTAGTCTATGTGTTCATGGGAGCTGTGGCTGGCTATGTATCTGCTCGTCTCTACAAGAGTAAGAGTCATTTTTTGAGATATGCACATACGTACGTAGGCAGCACTAGTGAAAAAATGAAAAGCACTGAAGTGCAAACCCTCGGCGCACTGTGACGTGCACGCGTAAGTAAACGCATGCGCCGTACCACTAATGGGTGGGCTGGGTTTAGTTTTAGCTGTTACTCGTGGTCTCTTGCCAGCTCGCGCAGAGTCTGACGCAGGCTAACTACACTACTAGATAGCATGCGAGAGTAAGCCGTCCCGTCCGTTGTGTATTTGCATATTGGCTTTTTCGCGCTCTAGCTTTGCAACGGAGCATTTTCAAAGAAAACCGTTTAAAATTTCTGACCTTCATTGCCCGTTAAGTAGGTCGTATCGTTTGTGAGACGAACAGACATTCGAGAAGTGAGATTGAGAGTAACAGACAGACAGACAGACAGACAAACCCAACTACAGTACCCTCGCTGCGCATGCGCGCCGAGGGTAACTACCTTAACCCTTGCTGCGCATGCGCGCCGAGGGTTAATGAAGAGGGAAGCCACATTAGTATACACCCTTCCCTCGACTTCGAAATAAAGTGGCAGTGCCCCAACACTTGTCAATTTAGTGCAGGGATTCTAGCAGGTTTAGCCGCTCTCCCTTTACCCGCTTTCTGAGTACATATGTACCTGAGTGCAATGTGCAGCAATACTTTAAAATCTGTACACGTGCGCTTGGTGTCCCTAGGAGATGCCCCCTCCCAGCTTCCTCATAACTGTACTAGGCTTGTGGTAATGGATATGTTAATGTATTGTTTTCTTCCCACACGTACATAGTGATGGGAGGACTCAAGTGGAAGTCTAACGCGTTGGCCACTGCATTGTTTGTGCCAGGGTACGTACATATGTACATGTATGTGTGTATTGTATGTATATACATTCCACCTGTATGTGGTGGTGTCCAACTACTAACACTGTTTTAACCCCCCCTCACACACACACACACACGCACGCACGCACGCACACACACTCTCTCTCTTTCCTTTTCTCTCTTGCTGTTTCCTTGGCCCAGGACGTGTTTCTCAGTGTTCTTCACTCTGAACCTGTTCCTGTGGGGAGCAGGGTCCAGTGCAGCCATTCCCTTCACCACCCTCCTCGCCCTGCTCTGTCTGTGGTTTGGCATCTCTCTCCCTCTCACCTTCTTCGGAGCCTTCTTGGGCTTCAGGAAACATGTGAGCCTCTCGCTTTTCCTCCCTCTCTCCCTCCTCTCCTCCCCCCTCCTCCTCCCCCCCTTCTTCTTCTATTTCCCTCCTTCTCAGTCTCCTCTGTATCTATCCATCCATGTGAATAAATATTACTTTATACTAGTAGACGAATGCACGGAATTTTTGGCGAGCGGGAGTGAGCACACAATGATTATATCCGCAAACCAACCTAGGCTACTTACAACTTGCAGCTTGGAACCACGAAGATTGCAAGCCTCGGTAAGGCACCAAAGAGTGCAGCGAATGCGGCCGAATGGACGAGAGTTCTCTCCCTGGCTCGGCATCGAGCTAGCAGCAAGAGCGTGTAAAAAATTATTATTAATTATTTCGGAAAAAAAGAAGCACGTAATTCTGACACATGCGCAATAGCACGACGTACGGACGGACGTATATATATAAATAGAAAAATCGCGCCGTTTGGACCACTAGGTTAGCTCGCTCCCGCTCGCCAATAAATCATTGTTTACGGTTCTCTATTGTTTCTATTGTCTAGTCTAACCCCTAGCTCTGTTTCATTATAGTTGTACTGTCTATTGAACTACCAAAAACATGTGTTTGTTCTGTAATTTCGTAACCTTCTGAAACTTATACGAAGGCTGGATTCACAATATGTCGCATTGCCCTGTCGCACCGTGCTGCGTCGCATCGTGCCGCAGAAATGGAATCTATCCTCGCGACAGGGCAATGCGACATATTGTGAACCTAGCCTTACCTCTTTCTCCTCTCGTTTCAGTAATGTTCTATCTGTGCAATACACAGCCGATAGAGCAGCCGGTCAAGACAAACCAGATCCCTCGAGAGATCCCAGAGCAGAACTGGCTATCTCATACCATCCCCACCTCCCTCATGGGCGGCATCCTCCCATTCGGCTGTGTTTTCATCCAACTCTTCTTCATACTGAGCAGCATTTGGTGAGCGGCTTTGTCTGGTCTGTATATACATGTGTTTCAACAACTTGGTAATGAGGTAGAAAGGCTAAAGGCAAAGCAAACAAGTCAACTACACCCAGGCTCCTCTCATCAGTAGTGTTCTGTCTGTGCAATACACAGCTGATAGAGCAGCCGTGCACGGTAATACATCTGAAGAAGGCTGCAAGAAGCCGAAACATGGTGTAAAACTTCTGACCAAACCCGGACTGACACTAATACTTCAGAGTTTCCATTATTAGTAGACCTGATAGATTGACTGGAGAATAGAAGTACACGGGTCGGGGGAAGAGAAAGAACACACTTGGGTCGGGAGTCAAACTCAAGCATTGTGACTGGCTAGTGCAGTTCACTGTGAACTGAGCAACTTCCAGTCAAAAGCATGTCCTTTTCTCTTTCCCTCCTACCCTGTTTGCATTTTGTTCGTTCTCGACTTATCATTAAAGCCCAAGAGTCTCGGACTATTGCTTTTCAGGGATGCTACGTACTATGTACATCTGTACATAGGTCCAATGTGTTAAATGCAGGTATGGCCTTTTTAGTGTCGTTTCTATTTTATTATTGTTTGAAGCATGTGAACATCTTGTGGGGTCTCGAAATGCAAAATTCTAAATCTGTCATCCCTCCCCACTCCCCAGGGGTGGTCAGATCTACTACATGTTTGGGTTTCTCCTGCTGGCATTTGTGGTACTGGTTGTGGTGTGTGCCCAGACCTCCATCATCATCTGCTACTTCCACCTCGGCTCTGAGGACTACCGCTGGTGGTGGCGCTCCTTCTTCTCCACTGGTACACGTCCTTTCTCTCTTCCTCCCTTACCTCCTCACTCTTACTGGTGGGTACAGGCTTTTCTTCAGTCTGTCTCTCCCTCACTCTCTTCATTCTTACTGGTGGGTCTTATTTCAATGGTTGAAAGAAATTGTAATAAAAGGTGTCCGTATTATAGAGGTGTCCTCATTTCAGGGGTGTCATTAGAGAGGGGGGTTCCACTGTACACCTTCTCCTCCTCCTCCTCCTCCTCCTCCTCCAGGCACCACGGCCCTCTACCTCTTCTTGTTCTCTCTCCATTACTTTGTGTACAAGACGACCATCACAGGCTGGCTGTCCTACTTCGTCTTCTTTGGATACACGTTCATCATGGTCTTTCTCTTCTGGATACTCTGTGGTAACAACAAATTTTTGCCAAGTGTGTGTATAATAAAGAGTTGCACCTTTGGACCCCTAAACAGAATGTTTGCAGATGCACATTGTCTATATATACACTCTGCCTTGTGTATGTGAATTCCCTCCCTGAGTATGATTGAACTATGGCCGAATCGTCAGGGTTACTTTGTATACACCTCCTATAGAACCAAAAATGCTGTCTGAATAATATGATCTTTTCCTGCAGGTACCATAGGTTTTTTGGCATGCCTGCTGTTTGTTCGCAAGATATACACACACACTGCGCTGATGCAACTACAGAGGTTCCATTCACAGTTTGTGCCCATACAGTGGAACCCCTCTAAGGCGGACAACTTAGAGCCACAGCATTTTGTCCATTGTCGGGGTTTTGCCTGATTATACAGTATTCACAATTCTATGTCACTAATTCAATGTTAAAACACTCTAGACAAGATTACAACATGATAATGATGATGATGATGATGATGACAGTGTATAGTCGATCAAAGTCTATTGCGCGCTAAAATATTCCGCGCTTCTTTTTATCCGTCTCACATTATACACCTTCAGGCCAAGGTCGCCGCGCCTCATGCTCAGCTGCTGCTGGACGCCGCGCCGCTGCCAAGACTCTGGCTGCCGGCCCGCCACATAACACCCAGCTACGCTGTCGGTCAACAACTGATCACCGGCTGGAGCGGTGGGGGCTGCTGCACCGGAGCTGCCGCCGAGACAGTAGTAGTTGATGGGGACGGCTCCCCCAGACGTCTGGCCGACTGCATCATGATCTGGAGCACGCGGGAGGCAAGATCGGCCTGTCCAGCTGACGACCCTGGAACGGCCGTTCCTCCTGCAGGGTTGCTGGCAGCTGCCACCGTCGTGACAGAGACGTAGGAGTGGTCGAAGACGACGAGGACGCCATGGCTGAGACAGGAAGGCTGGAATCGGCGAAAAAGAACGAAACTTCTGGCTGAGAGATTCGTGCGCTTTGCTGCTGCTGGATTCGAACTTCGCGCGCTCTTTATATGGACGCCCGCGCCGCGCCGCACCCCCGCCCCCCCTCCCTCTCTCTCTCTCTAGTAGGCCTGAGACTATTATTCCCACAATTTGTCCGGATATTCTATTCTGAATTTCCTACTCCACATGCCTATTATTCTTTAAAGTTTACCTATTATTCACAGAAATTTACCTATTATTCTGCTTCAAAAATGAAAAAAAACAGTACTACAGAGCAGGCACATAAATAAACATCACGATCATTGTACTGCAACATGACACACGTCCACTCGGCACTCACACTTCGCCCTTCCGCGAGTTCCGAGTTGCCGCCGTTGCCCGCTCGTCGCAACTTTCAACCTATTATTCTTGGAATTATTCTTATTCCCAGAGGGACCTATTATTCCCGAAATTATTCCGGAATAATCGACGCAGGCCTACTCTCTAGCTCTCTTTAGATCCCGGTGATTTGAAATCGCGCAATTTCATTGGTCCAAACGCGGGATCAATTTTCCGTAGATCCCGCTGCCCCGGACGACGGGATCTATTGGGGAGCGAGCGTGAAGACGCGATAGGTAAGAGACTCGAGCGAGGTTTCAGCTACCAGCGGCGAGCCAGAAACGGTAGGCGAAAGCTACAGCATTCCCTCGTCGTCCGCCGCGTTTCGCGGAAAAGGGCTCCGCCCAACTCTACGCGCACGTATCTGCCAGAGCGTTCGAGGATTGGCTCGCGGCGAGCATGAGTATGTCGAGTTCCTTCTCGGAGTCTTCCTGGTCTAGACAAGATAGTAACAGCTCGCCTGGCGCGGCCATATCTTCGCAAACAGTTTGAATGGATCTACACCGGTTAGACGCGTCGCCACGGTAACTACGCGTGGTAGAGTGCCTCGGGCTCCCTAGTAGCGCCCTCGCTGCGCTCGGGACGCCGACAGCTCGGGAGCCCTCGGCACTCTACCACGCGTAGTCACCTCGGCTCCGCATCTAACCTATATATAGCTAGCTAGCTAGCTAGCTGTGCTGGCCCGCCCGCCGCGCCGTCGCGGCTGCTATAGGAGAGGCTGGCTATATATAGCCATTGTGTTAACCTCGTCTATCTAACCTTAACCCTTTGGGGCTAAACGTTTGTGTAAAGTCGGGGGGAGGCCACGCCGCCGGCCCCCCGGCCCCACACGCGAGATGACGACGTGCATGCGCGCGCAGGTTTAGCGGCCAGCGCAGCGCAGCCTCCTATTTGCGCTGCTTGCCTAGATAGGGCGCGCGTGCGAGGCCGCGCCCCCCTAGGCCCTGGCCCTGTCGGTAGAATTAACTCCCAACGAGCTAGGCGAGAGGGGCGCGGCGCGGCGGCGACAGCAGTTCCGCGCATGCGCACAATAGCTGGGAGAGAGGGGCTGTAATATCCCTCTAGAATATCCTTCATCGTCAAGTGGCCTTGCTACTACACTACCAGTCTGCTCCACCGCTACAGTGGATGTCCCACCCAGGAGTTCTATGATAATCACTGGGTCAGTAGCTGGAACACATGAAGGTCTATGGCTCCTTGAGGAGGCTCCCAGGAAACAACTACCAGTTGCAGTTGCACGTGGCCTGGTGGAATTGTCATCAGTGGAACTCCCCGTCGTTGTCCTCAACACTTCTGAAGAGACCGTGACTGTCTACAAAAACATGGAGGTTGCTACCCTGCAAGAGGTCGACAAACCAGCTACATATGAAGTGGGAGCAGTAGACGAACGACAAGCCACAGCAGTGGAGGAAGACAAACAACAAGTTCTCTGGGACCTTGTTGAGAATTCCTCAGCTGACCTCAGCCCGGGTGAGAAGGAGTTATTCTACAATCTTTTGCTGTCCTACGCAGATGTAATTGCATATTCTACCTCCGGTTTGGGGAAGACAAATGTACTGAAACACCACATACCCACAGGGGACGCTGCTCCTATTCGACAATCCGTCCGTAGAATTTCCCCACACCAACGACAGGATGTCCAAAACATGCTCACACAGATGTTGGAGGGAGGAGTAGTCGAGCCGTCTGCAAGTCCGTGGGCATCGCCAATCGTGTTAGTGAGGAAGAAGGACGGTTCGACTCGCTTCTGTGTTGACTACAGAAAGCTGAATGACGTCACACGCAAAGATGCGTATCCACTTCCACGGATAGATGCCACTTTGGACGCTCTGCATGGGTCCCGATGGTTCAGCGCCCTCGATCTCCTAAGTGGGTACTGGCAGGTAGAGGTAGCGGAGATGGATCGACCGAAGACAGCTTTTTGCACTACAGAAGGCCTCTACCAATTCCGCGTGATGCCATTTGGATTGTGCAATGCACCAGCAACTTTCCAGCGGCTGATGGATCTTGTGCTCGCCGGTCTCCAGTGGCGGGAGTGTCTCGTCTATCTAGATGATGTGATCGTATTGGGTCATACTTTCCAAGAGCACCTCTGCAACTTACGCTCCGTCCTCCAGCGCCTCCGTGAGTCTGGACTGCGTCTGAAACCATCGAAATGTTCCTTTTTCCAAAGTGAAGTGCAATACCTGGGGTACATCATTTCCCGAAAAGGCGTCTCCACTGACCCCAAGAAGACACAGAAAGTCTCTTCATGGCCGCTACCAACAACCAAGCGAGAAGTCCAGCAGTTCTTGGGCTTTGCGGGTTATTACCGGCGATTCGTCAGAGACTTCGCTTCCATCGCTCGTCCCCTTCATCGCCTCACGGAACATACATCACCCTTTGTATGGACCAACGACTGCCAGATAGCATTTGAGGAATTCCGCCATCGCCTGTGCTCGGCACCCATTCTGGCATTCCCAGACTTTTCGCGAGAATTCATCCTGGACACCGATGCCAGTGACGTCGGCATTGGGGCAGTCCTGTCCCAGGTTGATGAGGAGGGACACGAACGGGTGATCGCCTATGGAAGTCGAGCTCTCACTAAACCAGAGAGACGTTACTGTGTCACAAGACGGGAGCTTCTTGCGGTTGTACAGTTCACACGGCAGTACCGCCCTTATCTGATGGGACGGAAGTTCATACTCCGCACGGACCATGGGTCTCTTACCTGGTTACGGAATTTTCGAGATCCAGAGGGCCAGATCGCACGCTGGCTGGAACGACTAGAGGAACTCGACTTTGACATCGTTCATCGCCGAGGCAAGGCCCACAGGAATGCCGATGCACTTTCCGGGCTACCTTGCCAGCAGTGCGGACGAGAGAGTCACGTCACACCAACAGATGCTGTAGTCTCGGCCACTGCTATCCTCCAATCAGTTCCAAATGCGATAGGTGACAGCATCAGGGACGTCCAACTGGCTGACCCCATTCTGGGTCCACTTCTCAGAGGAAAAGAGATGGGTGAAAAGCCGAACTCTACCCAGCTCGGAAACCCAAGTCCGTCATCCCGAAGACTTCTCCAGCTCTGGGAACAACTGGTGGTCGCAGACAAAGTCCTATGTCGACAGTTCGAGTCTCGCCAAGGCCACACCTCAAACTTACAAGTTGTCGTCCCTTCGAAACTTCGAAAGGAGGTGCTGGCGGAGCTACATGAGGGTGCTGCGGGGGGTCACTTTGGTGTGGACAAGACACTCGCCCGACTGAAAAAACGATTCTATTGGCCAGGGCATTTCAATGATGTCAAAGACTGGTGCAGCAACTGTGGTTCATGCGCATCTCGGAAGGCTCCATCACCTAAGTCAAGGAAAGCTCCTCTAACCAGTATCGTGGCTGGCTATCCTATGCAGTTGGTGGCTATGGATGTGGTAGGACCCTTCCAGAGTCACCGTCGGGAAACAAGTATGTTTTAGTCGCAGCCGACTACTTCACACGGTGGGTCGAGGCTTACCCAATTCCAAATCAGGAAGCCACGACTGTGGCGAGGAAGCTAGTGGACGAATTCTTTTGTCGTTTTTCACCACCAGAGAGACTCCACTCTGATCAAGGAAGGAATTTCGAGTCTGCTGTTATCGCCGAGACATGCAAGCTGCTGGGAATCAACAAGTCTCGTACCACACCCTACCACCCACAGTCTGATGGACTGGTTGAAAGATTCAACCGAACCCTGTTGGACATGCTCTCGAAATCTGTTGGTGACTATCCATCTCAGTGGGAGCACCACATCCGTCGACTCTGCTAGCCTACAACACCAGTGTCAATCCAACAACTGGACACACACCTTTCTTCCTTATGTTCGGTAGACAAGTACGGATGCCAGTAGATATCATGTACGGGACCCCTGGTGTTTCGTCAGCACCTGTGCCGAAGTATGTAGCTGAACTGCGCGACAGCCTCACATCTGCTTACCAGCAAGTCAGAACTACTACCGCAGCAAAACTGAAACGCCAGAAAGAATTTTACGACCGCAAAGTTCACGGACAACCATTTGACAAAGGTGACCTGGTTTGGCTCAACAGCCCGGCTGTACCAAAAGGGAAACCTAAGAAACTTCATTGCCCATGGACGGGGCCATTCAAGGTGGTGCGCAGACTATCTGAAGCGGTCTATAGGATTCAACACACAAGAAATCGTTGCAAGAGACGTGTAGTGCACTTTGACCGGTTGAAGCCATGTTCGCCAGACACCCGTTTGCCGCTACCAGCCTTGAGAGAATACTCAGCTAACCCACGTCCTGCTCAGAGACCACCGGTGGGTGCTGGCCCTGGAACTGCTGGAGGATGACACAGATACACCACTTCAGCCCGGTGATGGTACAGCCCTACCGCCAGTGAACAGGGACTCGATCATACCTCCAGTCAAGGCTGCAGGCGCGCCCCTGCCACTACCTCCACCACTTCTCCCTCCACCTGCACCTCGCTACCCAAGACGAAATAGAGCTCCCCCAGACCGATATCGCCCCGGTATCCCCTGCTGAATTCGAGACGAATTCTTTTTGGATAAGGGAGTTATGTAAGCAGGTCCCAGCTGTCGCACACACTATGGCATCAGACTGACATGGTTCTTCAACACCAGACAGCTGTGTCACACACTATTGCACCAGACTACTGTAGTCATGTTCACACCACTGTAAT